GGCAAGCAAGCATGATGTGGCAAGAAAATAAAAACTATTCACAAATTAAGGAATTTAAAATGAAATAGAACTAGGATAAAAACATGGCATTGGTGTTTAATTATATGGCTTTGCACAATTCAGCTAAACACTTGGTTCAAATAGCCTTAATATTTTCAACTGTAACATTTAGGTAACCTTCTCTTACAGGGTTTATTTAAGGATTAGAGACTGTCAACAACGTGGTTATCATGTGGCATTTACTTGATACACGAAAGTTACTAAATTAACTATTATAATTACCATGAAGATCAGAAACAGACTAATTTTACAAAATCATAACTTCCAAAACCCTTACATCCAAAGGAAATCATCCTTTTTCATGGGGCACATAATTAGTGGCAATTTTGAAAATGCATGCAAAACAGGTAAGTTCCACTTGTGACAGACATGGTACATTAGTCTTTTGTGATTCTTTTCTCACAGTGAAAAAATTAATAGAAGTCAGGCAGAATCAATATCTTCAGAGCTCTGTGAGAGGAATAACTTTTTGTTCTAGACACTTTTGACAGAGGGATTTTAAATCTTAGAAAAATAGCACATTTTGGAATTGCTCTCAGATTTTTCTAAGGTGGACTGTATATATAGAAAGACCTAGAAAAATCTTTCCAAGAAAAAAAAAATAGTAACCATAAACCTGAAGAGATGTTTGGCCTTATGTGCTTTTCGCTTCAAGTGAGTCTTCAAGGAAAAACTGGTGATGGAGGGACAGAAATGCTTCACTGAATCTCATCTTTCTCTGATTTCAGTTTATTTAAGTGAAGTTGATAAATCATGCAATGAGAAAATGGCACTATTCTATCAATTTAAAACCAGAATTCCTTATGTATAGAAAGGATAAAATTTCTCTTAGAGGAAACACAGATGGTGAATCCTAAATTCTTCTTACCAATCTCTGTGAACCTGCACACAGAGATTCATGTTTCCTCATATTTTTATGTTCTGAATCGAACATGTGCTAGATTTGTCTCAAGTCCCTGTTACCCTTAAGGATCCATTATGATTTTCACAATTTTAGACATACAAATCTGAGGCAAAATTTTCCTCAAATTTCAGAGTTACAGACAATAAAGCACAACTTATTTCATGCCTCAGTGGTTTTGATTAGATGAACTTCTTAGTGTCCAGCCTTCTATGAATGTCTATTTCTCTCTGTCTGGTGTATCTGATAAGGATACATGCATAAGTTCATGTCTTTTGCAGGGACGTGAAAGAAGCTAGAAACCATCATTCTCAGCAAACAAAGACAGTAACAGAACCAAACACCACATGTCCTCATTCATAAGTGAGAGTTGAACAGTGAGAACACCAAGCCAGGACTGAGCATCAGATCAGTACAAATAAAACCCTGAAAACTAAGAGCAAGATTGAGTAAAAAAAAAAAATATCCATTTTCTTTAGTGTGGAAACCATTGTGATATAGGTTTGTCCTGAGCTAAACCTAAAAGGTAGCAAATTTTTTCTTTGTAATTGGCACAAATTACAGTCTGTAAGAGTTTGGGTACATTTTTAGAAAGAACCCTGCCTAGGTGGCATTTTAGATATGAAGTTGGCTATCCAAGGTTGTAGGTATACCTTTAACTCTTCTGGGGCCCATCTCTGTGTAAGAGGAATCATAAGATCTTACCTTCATGGAAACAAGCTAAGCACTATCATACCTTGATATCTCTTTCAGGCCTGAGATTAAGATGAGACATGTTCATGAAGAATTATGACAGTCATTTTATATCACACTGCAGAGTAAATATGAAAATGAGGAAACTACAAATCCTCTTAAATCTCAGACCTACCAGTAGACAAAGAAAACACACATACACCCACAAACACACACACACACATCCCTACACACAATTAAGTTTGCTTAAACAACTGATGAGGCCTATTTATATAAATACATCATTTTCAGAATTTTCTAATCTGTCTTTTTAAAAATACCAGTTATGGTTGCCATAGAGATGCACAACATTGATCATCTCTCATGGAAAACTCATGTGCTGTGGCAAAAAGTACACTTTGCTGATAGCATAGAGTTCCTATCACTTAGGATCACCTCAGGTTTTAAGCTGAGGTCACATTCTTCTTGGGAAGCACCCAACTAATTAATGAGCATAGTGGGGACACTAGGATGAGGCAATTTTTCTCAATATCCTCAAGAACTTTTCTAACAGGCAATTTTTATTCCAGAACTTCCCACGCTTTGGTGGACTCATGTTTCATCGCAGTTTGACACTGTCTTGGCTCGATCTTGTTATTTCCCTGCTTACACGTATTATATCCCAAATAAAACTCTGGTATGGCTTACTTATCTCAGCATTTACTCCCACGCTACCTGATTGACATACCAATGTTGGATAAGATATTAATACAATTGTTGAATAAACAGATATACGGACAAACTAACTGATTTCGCACGATATTCACAATGCACATTACCACTGTAGAAGTTTGGCTGCAGTTGAATTTGCTTAACATTGTTTCAATCTGCATTCCTAGACTTATTTAAGAGCATGATACTTTCCCCAAAGTTTCCCTTTAAGTATCTTTATGGATTTTGGTGTTCTGAAGATGTTGATGTATTTGATATAATACCGTTCGCAAAAAAGGTTTTATGTGGAAAAACAAAAACCTCTCTCCAGTCCTTTTTCAAGCCACATCTCACACTCCCAAACTTTGTTTCTTCAAAAAGAGTTAATCTAATTGGCAATATTTAATAACAACTAGTTGGCTCTCTTACTAGAAACTAAGGTCACTCCAAAATTGAAAGATAGGGTCATGAATCATCCTTTCTCTTTCATCTTGTAACCATGCTCTGGCTGGAACTTACTCTTCTGTCCAACTATGTGGCTTCCTAGAGTCTAAAAAGTAATTGGGATTGAGGTTTATATTTTAAGGAGGTTTAATTGTCCTTCTTTCTAGGCCTTAAGGTGAAGCTCCCCATATTAGAGATTTTTCTACTGGAAGTGGCAGTGGGGGTGGTGATATTAGGACACACTCATTTACCAATAATGCTAATTTGTTTCAGTTTGATTTTGCCCCTGTGGTCTATTTCAGGAAATTTTGTGCTAAGGGGAATATCAGACACTGCTTATTCCTCTGGCCATCTGATCATCATAGAATTACACTTCTGCATTCCAATACTTGGCCTGGTATGCCCTAATGGTTAGCAGTACTCTGGATATTATTTTAGAGGCACACTTGTTTTTCAACTAAATTTTTAGATCACTCATATTTATTCATAACGGGCATATTGACCCAGAACAGTAATAAGGGATGTACTGTGACAAACCCAGCATATTTTACTAAGAGAAATTCGAAACTCGGTGATATTTTCTGAGGTATGTACCATGGATTTGGTAAATAGGTCCTGAAAATGAATACTAAAACCAGATGTCTCATTAGAAATTCTCTTAGTGCATCAGTATCTGGATTGGTATCTCAAATATGTCACATCAGGGAAATCCTTATATTAGCTTGAGAGATAAAAGAAAATACTACAGTGATCCCACGAATTCCCTACCATGAGAATACATCAGTTAAAAATGCTTTTTGTTCTCTGTGTATTTGTGCATATCCAGCCCAATTTGCCTACTGGAGACACCACATGAATATGTACTGAGTTTTCTTTACGTGGAATTGGGAGGTCCTAACATCACCCTTATAGGTGTTCTAAGGTACTTTTTAAGGCAACATTTACATATTCATTAAGTTTCTGAAATGTGGTAGCAAGTATAGAACAGAAGTTAGAACATTTTAATTATTTCCTAACTCTATCGCTTATTTCCTATGAGAACTTGACCTAGTGCTTAGTTAACAGAACTAAGGCCCTTGGCTTTTAGAAGGTCCCCAAAGTCTTTTCACGTGACACTGTCCATAGGAAGTTTACATAATGGCAGCTTCTCTGAAGCTGAAGCTCGGAAGCTCAGTACCTCCACTTGTAAAAATAACAATGACATTTGTTTCAGCATAGGATTGATAAGAACAGCCAGATTGGAAAAGATATGTAATTATTTTGCATATTGAAAAATATTATAAAAATGAAAATAAAAAATCTCAGGATAAACTTTAGACAAAATTTACAAAGATAATAAATTTTTCAAGAATGAGTTTACGTCCTTTGCAGGGACATGGATGAAACTGGAAACCATCATTCTTAGTAAACTAACACAGGAACAGAAAAACAAACGCCACATGTTCTCACGCTTATGTGGTAGTAGAACAATGGAAACACATGGACACAGGGAAGGGAACATCACACACTGGGGCCTGTTGGGGGTGACGGGTAAGGGGACGGAAAGCATTAAGACAAATATCGAATACATGTGGAGCTTAAAACCTAGATGATGGATTGATGGGTGCAGCAATCCACCATGGTACATGTATATTTATGTAACAACCTGTATGTTCTACACATGTATCCCAGAACTTAAAGTATAATAAATAAATGAAAAATAAATTTTTCTTTTGGTTCTCAGATTTTACTGTAAACAACCTAAATATTGCCTAGTAGAGTATTGTCTCTCTAGTTGTAGACCTGGTGTAGTAAATACTATTCTAAAATAATCCTTGCCTATTGGCAGAGATCATGTGACCATTTCAGAATAGTATTTACCAGACCAGGTCTAGTTGTAGACCTGGTGTGGTAAATCTTGCTTCTAGTCAGTGGGATATAACCAAGGAAATTGGATATACCTCCTTTGACTATGTTACATTATATGAAAAGAATGATGCCATTTGCTTGGTCAACAGATGTGATATAAAATTCCTTCTTATGAGATTGGAGTAAGAGACTATCTGAGGGATCTGAGGGGTCTTGAAGAAGCAAGCTGCAATCATGTGAACTGCCTATGGAAAGTGTCACATAAAAAGACTGCAGGGTCCCTCTAAAAGCCAAGGGCCTCAATTCTGCATCACAATCAACTCAGCCAACTCTAGAACTAGAACTCTGCCAACAAGCACATGGTCTTGAAATAGGATCCAGAGCCTTTGATGAAACCACAGTCTCAGTTGACATCTCAATTGCAGCCTGTGGAACCCTAAGCAGAGGATACAGCTAAACCATGTTCACACCACCTGACACATGAAAATGTGAGATAAATAACGTGTGTTCTTTTAAACCATAAAGTTTGTAATAATCTGTTTTGCAGTCATAGAAAACTAACATACCACGTTACTTGTCTTTTCTTTCATATTCAAGCTAAACTATCCGGCCTTCCAAAACTAATCTGATATAGGAATTAACATTGTGTTGATAATTCAACATTCTATTATTTTTAGATAATATGCGCGAATGATAAACACACACACACACACACACACACATATATATATACAACAGCTATAAATTTCTTAACCTCATGTTTTTCAAAAGGGTTTGCTCAGTGTCTTAGAGAGGTTTCGTGAAGGTGATTTAGGATTACATATAAGTAAACTGATGGAAGAGCATACAAAAAATGTTCCATGTCCTGACCCCAGATTCTCTGCTACAAAAATAGCAATTCCTTTAGGTGTACAAGCTAAAACTCAGCATTAAAAAGGGGTTGTCTAGTTATAAAATGTCCAAGAATAATTTTCTTAAACCAAAGCATTATGGATGATGTGGAGGTTAATAGAGTACAAAGGTTCATCATCATAATCCCTGTCCCAAGAATATGTAGACAGTCAGCAAAGAAAGAAGGAAAAAGAAGAAGGATGGAAGGAAGAAAGGGAGGGAAAAAGAGAGTGTGAGGGAGAAAGAGGGAGGAAGGAGGGAAAGAGAAAAGGAGAAAAGGAAGGAAAGATGAAGAAAATACAATTAAATAATCTATAGAAAAATGCTCTAACATATACTTAACAAATGTTAACTTTTAAAATAGTTATTTTGCACATTTTTACAATTTCATTTAAAAATAATGTAGAGAAACAATATTATGCAGCAATCAGAAATGATGAGTTTGTGTCGTTTGTAGGGACATGGATGAATCTGGAAAACATCATCCTCAGCAAGCTGACACAAGAACAGAAAGTGAAACACCGCATATTCTCACTCATAGGTGGGTGATGAAAAATGAGAACACATGGACACAGAAAGGGGAGTACTAAATAGTGGGGTCTATTGGGGGGAAAAGGGGAGGGCCAGTGGGAGGGGGAGGTGGGGAGGGATAGCCTGGGGAGAAATGCCAAATGTGGGTGAAGGGGAGAAGAAAAGCAAAGCACACTGCTATGTGTGTACCTATGCAACTGTCTTGCATGCTATGCTCATGTACCCCAAAACCTATAATCCAATAAAAAATTAAAAAAAAAAAGAGAAACAATAATATCTACCATTTCGTCAGGCAAACCACAACATTATTTACCCTGTTTTACTTTAAAGTTATTAAAATCTAACCAAAATGATAATGATCAGTGGTTAAAATATGAGATAAAATATTTTTTCCCTTCATATATAAAGAAACCAATGATATGTGAGTGAGTTACATAACTTGTGATTCTTTAATGACGACTCTCTGTCTGCTTTATTTATGTATGCTAGGAACATATGCCTTCACCACTGAACAGAGAACTCACTAAAAGATATATTCAAAGGGTTGCCTATTTTCTTCCTAAATTTTGGACTAAAATGGAAATGCATTAGAAAGCTAAAGCAATTCAAGAGCTTCACTTGTGCTCACTGAACTGAGACACTTAGACAGCAACTAGATTTCAAGTGGCAAATGAAATTCAGGTTCCCATGAACACAGCAGTAACTTCTACCATAATAGTAGTGTACCTGTGTAAGGCAGCTCAAGAAATGGGTTGTAAAGTTCCTACTCCAACCACAATGAAGTTTTTATAACATTTTATATTAGTTATAAGGCTTGAAATAGCAAAACACTGAAATGTGTCAATGCCTTTTAGCTCTAGCATGTCTATTTTGGATAGAATCCAAACATACACACCAACATTTATTTAATATACTTGCCAACATCTTCAAACTTTCCCTTTGACATTCTTGCTATTAGAAGGCCAGGAACTTCAGTAAGTTCTGCACTTGCGGGAATCTATTTTCTGTTTTTCAGTCAAATATGAGAATATTTAAAACTGTACATGAGACTTTAGGCTCCTGAAAAATGTATAGTGGTTTTTTTTTCCCCTTACAGGTTGTCACTTTCCAGATTTCATTGCCCACCTTTCATGCTTTCTTCTAACTAAAGTTTTAAACTAAGTCATGGGGTGATGATTTCTGCCAGTGCTCACCACTACCCATTTGAGGCATCATTCAATTGGATCGTGTACATCAGTTGATGAGCACAAATGATGCTATAGGCAGTGTGGTAGTTAGAGAGAATGACAATGGACTAAATACTAGCCCGGTTTAACCAGGGAAATAAACTATCTAGGTCACCGATGATGTTCGTGATTCATTTTGAACAGAGAAAAATATTACACACTCAATTATTTTTGTCCCAGAAAATCTGCAAGTTAAGATAATTTCTATATAACAGTAGAAGGAAATTAGTAACTAACTAAAATAATAGGCTGATATGCAAAATCAGATATAATTGTGGCAGTCATGAGGACATACTACTCAATCTGGTCTTCAAGAGAAACTGCTAGAAAGAATGTGCTAGCTGACAGTCTGCAGCTGCTACACATAGAGATTTACTTTGGAGCGTGTGTTGCATCACTTTGATTCATTGGGGTGTTTCAGCCAATAATTGAGCATGGTTAGTGTACTAGAGTGGGGCTATTTCTGCCATATGCTGAATTTTTCTACAAGGCAATCTTTGCTAGGGGACTCCCTGTTGCCCTGAATAATTTCTCATGGCTGCTGATCTCTTTTAGTTCTTTTGTCAGTAGAAACTGTGTCTAGAGGACTATATGATTATAATATTGAATTTAAGGTACAGATACAAAGCAGGGTTCTTCTATGATTTCATGAAATAAAACACAAATAGCAGCAGAGTTAGCGTTTTGGGCAGAGAATCGGTGGTTATTTTGATTTTTATTTTTATCTGTTTTTCTTTTTAAATTAAATTACATTTTTATTTTTATTATGATTTTTCCCCATCTAGCAGAAGTCCCAGTATCTCCTTAGTTTCAGGTATTAATCATTTCAGCAAAGCTAGAGAGGAGTTAAGCAGGCATTAGAAATTAGAGTGGTAAATGCCCGATGGTACAATTAGAAAGTAATATGGAATATTCTTTTAAACACTGCCAGTTCCTTATGTATTCTTATGGAAGACTCCGAAATTAATAGTCCTTCATGACACAACAACGATGTATTGCCCTTCTTGTAAGCTTACATGGAAGAATGAGTGTTTTCAACTTCTGCGGTTTTTAAATACATAGGACTTTCTTCAGAACTGATATAATTGTCACTTCCTTTGTGTTTAAGGTTGCTTTTCAGTTAAAATCAAAAGTAACATTTATATTTCAACAGTCATTACTTTCTATAGTTCTGTTAAACATCATCTCAAAGAATATTGTACAGATGGCATCTGTTGCATGAATGCTAAGCAAAATTGTATTGATTTCACTTGCACTTTGCCTACTAGAATTTGCATCATAAATATCATAAATGTAGAGCTTAGATATCACACAATGCAAAAAGATTTGTGAACACACTGATGCTCTCACTCCACCAAATGACAGACTCGACAGCTTAATTTACATTGCTTCAGGTCTAGATAACTGGCTTTTGTTGTCCTGAGAATATGAATCATTTTATCTCTCGTATTTATAGAATTGAAATTGGTATCTTAGATTTGAATGTGAAATTATGCTAATATGAGGTTAAATGATTATTCGTTAACATGCTAGGATTTTAAGAACATCTGTTCATCTATTGCATGTAAGCACAGGTGTCTAGTTAATAATTACAGATTTTCAAGTCACAGGGCAGAGCTTAACCCACTATTGTGACTCCATGACTCACCCCAGAACTGTGCCAACATGGAGACAGTTTACCCACAAAGATGAGCTCAGTGATATGATAAATTCTCGATAGTTTGATTTCAGATTATTGGTTGGATAATAGTCAAAACTTCACTTACATTGTATTTATATCAATATATATTTTGTACTGAAAAATAGTAGTAATACTTGAGAATAGATATTCCAGCATCTATATAGCTTAAATATCAGGATTAAGAATGGAGACCATTTTCATCAATATAACTATATTATTTGTTTGAGAAAACTCTTTCTGGGAGATAAAACTATAGACCAGTATATAACTTTACTGAATGTTTTGGGAATTTAGTGAATATTAATTTTTAGGAATAATAGACTACATTAGCCTCCTTTTCAGGACAATGGATCACTCAACTGGGCAAGCCACCCACTTATCAAACAACTGTTTGTTTGTCAACGTTCAAATTTTGCCTCCTTGTATCCACCAATCCTTTGGTCACCAATCTGATAAATCTCAACTAAAGCTCCACAAGGAAGGACCCACCATAAATCACTGGACCCCAGACACCAACACCTTCCAGTTATCTGCCCCAAATATCGCTTTCTGAGCTACTACAAAGACTCTGTCAAGCTGGTACCCTTCTCTACGCAGTAGGAAATAAGTTCAACTTTGCCTGATCAATAGGTAATTCTGGTGCACTTAGGGATGTTGTCCAACGTATCACTTTTATGTTTTGATAATTCTAAAGCATTTACAAAGTGCTTACATTTTTACATTGTTTTTAAATCCTACATTTGTTAATCCTGCTAACGATACATTCATATTTACATTTTAGAAGCAAGAGAACTGAGGTATACAGGAGCATATGGCTTGTCCAAGGTCACATAGTAAGTGGTAAAGAAGTACCTTGGCTTGTCCAAGTTCACATAGTAAAGATGCAACTTGATCCTAGATTTTCTAAGCAAGTCTGTTTCTTACATTTGTGAGTTTTGTGTGTGGCCATCTGCATAGACTGCAGGGCCTACAACAATATGAAAATGCAGATCTCTGTTCAAAAAGCAAAAAATATGTTCTTAAAGCTATAAAAATATAAAACTTTTTAGTTTAAAAATATTTGATTACTCATAAATGTAATAGAATAAAAGTGGTACATGTACAGCAAACAAATTAGAAATTAAAGAAAAATTATTTTTGATGTCATAATTTTATACAATACCATGAAGAACAATAGTTACTAATATGCTATCTTGAATTATCTTCAGATTCGTATGGATTACTTTTCTGAAAATTTATTTGTTTGGCCATCAAAATTTATATTTTGGCAACTTATTTTTAACAGATACATTTAAAACAACATTGATTACTCTTGGTAAATTATTAATGTAAGTCACAAACATGTTTTATAATCTTTTAATTCTGAAGTGATCCTTCTATGGATGCAAATACTACTAGAATTGGTGAGTATTTTTTAGGTTGTGACATTATTAAAATAAATATCTGATACTCTTTTTGAAATATGTTTTTCTGTATCTAGAACTTGTTATTCTTAGAGAATAATTTTTCTTAATAGATTTAACTCTTCAAACGAGTTTTGTGTAAAGCTAAATTTAATTTTAAATGTAAATTTATACAATAAATTCTAACATTTCCTTTTATATTTTCTGTAAGTCATAGAAGTCATACATGAAATTGAAAGTGGCTTTATAATTTGAATAAAATTTGAAAGTTATTTATGTATTTATTGATACATCTTTTATTACAAGTGAAACAATAATTTTAAGATTGTCTTTCTTGTTAATAATTGCTTTATCCAAAGCTTCATTTGAAAGTAGTAGTATTTTCTATCAAACATGACATCTTACATTGAATTCGTATTTCAAAGCCTGTGAATATACTTATTTTGCAATGTTGTAGCGTTCTTTAAACCTGAGATTTTAAATTATTTGAAAGAGTCCAATAACTGCCCAATATGCTTTATTGCAACCTACATGTTTATGCTTTTATTTTAAAATAATTTATTGACAAAATTTACTGCCTGAGCACCAGAAATTCCTGTCCTAGCACTCAGGCACAGAATAGATATTTGTGCAGATTCTGTAGAGATATGAGTTGGGTATAGATAAAGCTGGTCTTAGACTGCAGAGTCTGTGGTGCCAG